GATTGAATATTACATATATGCCTACTATCTTAATAGCCTAGTTTAATGTATATGAATAAAGAATTTAGTCGGCATAAAACAAGCTCTAGGTTTACTGTAACAAATGTGCTTTGGAATTCTTATTTTCTTTAATCAAATAAAACATTTGCAAAAGGAACGATGGAAAGCAGATAATTACGAAAACAATATATTGAACTTATATTAATTAAACGGAAATTCAATTAAAAAAACCAAAAGAACAAGTTCGCTTTGTGATGTTTGTTTCTTCGTTTTGATATTGTGATGCGGCGAAAATTTTTCGTTCTTTTTTTTTATATATTTGTGTTGTATTGGGAAATACAATAAGAGAATTTAGTCATGATTAAACATTTATTTGTTTCATTTGACGCTTGAATTTAGCATTTTTGTACATGATGATGATAATGATGGTGATTAATGATAATGATGGTAAGAGTGATAATGATGGTGATTGAAGATGATGATGATGATAATGATAATGATGATGCCTGTGTGGGGAATGATTATCAATAAGGAAGAATTAAAGGAGTCATCCTCATCATCATTAACCATCGTCATTAGCATCCCCACCATATCATCATCAACCATCATTATCATCATTATAATCACCACCACCACCATCATCGTAATCATCATCACCAACACCATTATAATTATAATTAACATTATTAGCATATCATCATCAAAATAATAATAATAATTATTATTATTATTATTATTATTATTATTATTATTATTATTATTATTATTATTATTATTATTATTATTATTATTATTATTATTATTATGTTATTTATTTTGTGTTGTCTTCACTACAATTATTGTTTCGTTTATAACAAATAATATACAATTACAATCCACTATGATAAAAATTACAACATTCTTACATCAAATGGTCAAAATATTTCTCGAATACTAGTTCGGAATAACGTACCGTACTACAGGGGCGTACGGTGAAAAATCTAAGGGAGGTGGGGTCGAAACGAAAGCGCAGGGGGCAAGCTGAACTCAAAGCAATTTAGCGAAGCTTTCAGAAGTCGCGGGGTGCGTTATTTGTGAGTGAAGCAAACAACTAGGCTGGGGCTAGGGGGCCGCAAAAGGGGAAAAATTTACGTTTTTACGTTCTAGTGCATTAAGTTCAATACCAAGTCTGACAAAAAAGGCCTAATTGTAAACGTACCGTAGTTTTTGGGCAACACCAGACTATATTCACTCAATATACCACCAGCCTATTGGATTGCGGAACTCCTGAATACGGGCCTGTGAGCATTTCAGATTAAAGAATTTAACAAAAAATGTTTTTTTTTTTTCTTTTTCGTGGGATCGTCCCACTTTTAATTTAAAAAAAAAATAAAGTTATAAATGTATATACTGTATTGACAAATAAACAATGATATAGGGAACATATAATTACTTAAAGTAACATTTTGTATGCGTTTATTTCTTAACGTTTCCCTTTCAATTTTATATTTTAATATATTTCTTTAACTTAGTTTTTCTTCATCGTTTTCCTTTCAATTTTATATTTTAATATATTTCTTTAACTTAGTTTTTCTTCATCGTTTTTCTCAATAACTAATACTGAAACTACGCTTTAAATACTAAAGGTAATTTAACTTACCTAATATTTACATAAAAAAATAAAAAAATAAATAGCTCTTTATTTAAAGATCAAATTGTTATTAATTTTCCGATGCGTCCTGCATCGTTTTGCGTCTTCTCTGAGTTCCTTTTCTTTTATTTTTCTTCTTCTCTCTTTATTTGGCATTTCTATATTCCGAAAAAATAATCTACAGTATTCAACTACCTCACGAGAAAAATTTGCTCTCATCAAATAATTACATTGCCTTCGGTTTTGCGTTGCGCGCGAATAGATTATTTTGCTGCACGGAAAACACGCAGCTAGCTACAGATAACAATAATGGCAGAGTGCAATGATGAGTAACCAATACACCACATAACACAACTCTACTGACGCGCGGGCTTCGAGATATCAAGTTGATTAAAATGTATAACTTTATATGGATTGTTTAAAAAAAAGACAAAAAATCAAAATATTAAAAGGAAGGGCCACCAAACATTTTTTAGGCGAAGGATAATTTATTTTGATATTAACTACCTTCATGTTAGGCACA